GAGTATAAGTTTTAGGCATAATCTATCAATCAAATTAAATCAATACTAGAATTCTGGTGTGTGGCTCCTATAGTCATTGAAATGGGTGTTTCATTCACCCCCACCAAGGTTAAAATCCCCTTGACCCCCTTCCCTCTCCCCATGTCCCCCAATTCCCGTTGTACCAAAAAAAAAAAAAAAAAAATCAAATCAATGCTAAATATATACTACAAATGAATTGAAGTTATTATTAACTATATTTGATATTGACTAAATTTAATTAATGAGAAAAGATAAAGTTAAAGTATCTTACTATTCAAAATGTTAAGATATTTAATTTTAATCGTGATTTAAGTAAAATTTACTTCATATCTCATTTATCATGTGGTTTTTTTCTTCCTTTGCACGTCCATGTCTTCTACTTGCTACAAGTTCCCCACGAGTTTTTAAAACTAAATCATGCTTATATAGAGTTTGTTGCAATAAACTTATACGAGTTAGAGATCATTCTATCTTTCTGGTAAATGCCCTAATGGTTTAATTTCATCAATGCAATACATCGTCAAACATTGGCCTTCATGTCTTTGTTGTCTTTCAGTCTGAATGTTACCAGTATTGAATAGAAGAGTCGAACTTGAAGAGGGGTTCCTCATTTTTTTGTAAAACTCTTAGTTTGTTGACCTCTTAGTTGATGATGGAAGTATGAGAAGAAGAAGGGCAGGGTGGAAACTCCTGGTGTGGGTATGATATATACGTCTATATCTTATTGGACATCAATGTCTTGGACAAATCGTGACCAATACCAGTGTGACTCCCATATTTGAGCCATCTCTTCAATAGGGATATTCTTTGTCTCAGGTAGGAAGAAGTAGACAAAGATGGACATCACAAACACGAAAAATGCAAAGAAGAGGAACAAACTGAATTTTGTCAAAGGGATCCAAATGCGAAAAGAATACGTGGAAAGCATGTTGATAGAAACATTGATACTCTGCGCAGCTGACCGGATTTCCAACGGGAAAATTTCACTAGGCACCAACCATCCTAGAGGTCCCCAAGACCAGGCAAATCCAGCAACA